CCAGCCAAGCTCTCCACCACCCCCAGGCACTCAGCCCTGCACCCTTCCCCTTTCCCATCCCTCCCAACTCCCCCATCTCCACCACATCTCCTGGGAGCTGCTGCTGCCCCAAGGCCCCTCTCCCACCTCCTCTGCCACCAGCTCCCCCCTCACCGGGCATCCCATCTTTGTGCCCTTATGGAAGAAATACATAATTCTTTTATTATTCAATTAGGAGTTTAACACACAATCAGGTGATCGCTTTAAGAGGATTTCCTATAAGGCAGGATTTGAATAACGGGGCTATGAGTAATATATTCCCTTAACTGGTTTATTCCTTTATCAGATTTTTTTTTCCCCCCCTAAGCACTTTAATGCATTTACTTTCCCATTGTCGACACTTTTCTCCGAGCTCCTCCTCCCTCCCCGAGCTTATGCAAATCCCCCGTAAGGCGTTTAATGCTCCGTGTGTGTCAATAGTGCCCAAATCTTTGTGCATGAAGCATTAGGCTTCATGCATGCCCCGGCTGATTAAGAGGGGTGCTGGCTGCCCAAGCCCCCACCGTGGGGCCGGCCAAGGGAGCTGCGTTTTTGCAGAGAAAAGGTCACTTTTTTTTTTTTAAACAAAAAAAAGAGTGGCTTTTCTTCTGCAGGGTGAATGGGGAGCCGGGCTGAGCTGCCCGCCGCTGTTTGCTGCCCTGTCGCTCGGATTTGGGCTGCGTGGAGGTGTTTTGGGGACAGGGGATGCCTGTGGGTGGGATGTGAGCGGAGAAGGAAGAGGAAGGAGGGAAAATAACCCCTGAGTCTGTGTCAGTGCTGGTTTGTGCTCACACGGCCCAGCCTGTGCGGCAGAGGGTGCTCAGGGTGCCTGTGGGAATGGCTTGGGCATCGCTGGCAGGAAAAACAGGAATTTTCCCAATTTTTCTGCCACCAGGGGCTGGGGTCGTGCCAGCCTCCTCACGCTGCCCAGCCTCCCTCGTGCCGTGGGTTTGCCTCCCCCGAGGCAGCCCCTGGGATGGGTTTTTGGGGGTTTCACAGCTTTCACAGACGGGGTGTGATGCCCCTGGTGCTGGGGAGAGGCCGGAGCCCGGCTCGGGGGATGTGTTTGCCTGCTCACCCTGCTGGAATGTTCCCCTGCAGACAGACCCTGGGGACAGGGGAGCCTGGCCAGGAGGGCAGCAGAAATCAAGGGAATAGCAAAAGGATTGGCCTGTAATTCCTGGTTTTCCCGCTGCCTGAGGGTTTTGTGGCTGCTGGTGAAGCCCTGGGTGAGCACAGCACGGGGTAAACACCCCTCCAAGGGCATCTGTCACCATTTTCTCCTTCCAGAGGAAAAATCCCTCTCAACCTGTGCCTGTGAACAGCCCGGTGAGTGGGAAGGGGCTGGACCAGCCCTTCCCGGCGGTGTTCCCTCCACGCCCACCTCTGATTGTCTCCTTTTTTATCCCCTCCTGCCACTCTGCCTGTGCGTGCAGCAATTATGCAAAGATGCAATCAAGGAGCTGAATTAGGAGCTCATCTTGGATTAATTAGTGATGGATGCAAATCCGTTCCAACAAAGAGGAGCGAGGGGAGTGCAAAGGCCACGGGTGTCCTCCCAGGGTTTCTCCAGCTCTCCCAGGCTGGTTTGAGGGCAGGAGGGATGCAGAGAAATGCCCTGCAGGGGAATTGGGGCATCCACGTGGAAGAATTTGGTTCTTGGCCTTGGGACAAGGCTTGGGTGCCCCAAAGCTGATGCTCAGCTCAGCCTCTGCACCTCCCTGGAGGTTTTAAACCCAGAGCTTTGGGCTTAGAGCATCTCCTCCCACCCCAGCCTTGCTGCAAAGCTTGGGGGAAAACCAGTTAATCCCTGCGGGCTCCAGTGCTGAGCCCCTGCCAGCGCCGGGGATTTCTGTTCGCCCGCAATCGGATTGTGACAAACCCCTCCACTTGCACTGAACAAATTCCCTGGCTGCTCCCCGCTCCTCGCAGGCCCCAGTAATCCCCTGAGTGTGACTCTGGCCAAGAGGCAACATCCCTGATTAATCCCCAGCGTCTCTGTGCAAAGCTGCTGCTGCCGAGGTGCTCCTGGTGCTGGCACGGCACGCTCGGCCAGCGCTGGGAGCAGACCCAGGGAAGGAGGCAAAGGATGCAAGGCTGTTTAAAGGAGCTTTTCCAAGAGGGGATTGCTTGAGAACAGCCTCTTCTTCCCATGAAGTGGAAAAGATGGATGTGCAATGCTCCCGGGAGCACTGAGCCACGGGGTGTGGGAAGGGGGTGCAGAGGTTTCATCCCTTTGTCTGCTCCCCCCTCAGTGTCACCCACCCCAGCTGGTGCAGAGGGGGCACCCACTGGGCACAGAACAACCAGGGCAGCCTGGCAGGGTGAGCATGGCTTGGTCAAGGAGCTCCTGAACCAAGGGATGGCTCGTGGCTGTGCCCACAGGGATGGGGACAGTAGGGACAGCACTCTCACATAGTCCCCAGGAGTTTAAAACCTTGGCCTGAGGTTTTTGGTGTGCAGACAACTGAAAGGTCTCTCCTTCCTCTCCCCTCTGCAACAGCAGTGATTAATAAAACCTGACTCGGCTGGAAGGGCAAGGAAAAAAACAACAATACAGGACATTTCTGGAGATCGTCCTAATCCAGCATCTCGGAGCCAAATGAATCAGCAGCTTCTCATTCTGCCTGTAGGATTAGTCAATGTTCATCCAGGCTCCTGGGAAGCGAGGTGAGGCTCTGCATAGCAAGGAGCGAGGTGGCCACAGGGTGTTGGCTGGTTCATGGAGCCAAGCAAATCCCTCCTTGTAATCCTGCAAACACTGCTGGGCTGCTGGGATGCACGCTGGGAGCCATGGGACAGCAGGGAGAGGCAGGAGAGGGGAGAAGGAAAAAATACCTCAAAATCTGCAGCGTGGGTGGAGGATGAGGCTGTTGGATGTGGGGGAAAGACTCAAGGCTGGGGCTGTGTGTAAGGGGTGTCCCTCATGCCTCAGGGACCAGGATGCCAGGGACCAGGAGCAGCATGCCTGGCTGGTTTTCCTGGCTGTTAAAGTGGGTCAAGCAGAAACCCAAGGAGCATCTGAGCTCACCAACCTTGAGCCAACTATGTGGAAGCTGAATTATTCAGGGCCAGCTTAAAAAATTGAAGAGCCCAGCAAAACTCCAGGAGAGCCCATGGGACCCCCACACCCTTGTCAGGCAGAGGCAGCTCAGCCTGCCATGCTCGGGGGGCACCTCGGGCATTTTGGGAGGGGGGACAGTGTTGTTTGTGTCTAACACTGCCCTTGGGGATGGGGAAAGCAGAGAGAAAGCACCCAGCAAAGTTCACCCTGATGGATTAATTCCCATGTTCCCTGTAGAGCTCCAAGCTGTAGCCATTTCCTTGGGTACCCCAGCGTGGCTCTCACACCTACAGCAGGAGGCAGCTGGAAGAGAACCCACTTATCCCCTGAAATGGGAATCTCTTTATTGTGTGGTTTTGGAGAGGAGGCTAAAACCTGATCTTTGCCACCAGGTGTTTGGTTGCAGCATCTCCCCGTGGCTTGGAGAGCACCACATCCACCTGGGAGCTGAGGTGCTCCCCTCAGCTTGGCTGTCTCTAAAGGACCACCCCTGCTTCTGCTCCCGGGGCTTTGGAATGGGGAGATCCAGCTCCTGGGGGGAATCCCTGTGGTGAGTAATGCTGCCTGGCGAGCGCCGGGAAAAGGCGGCTGCACATATGCTGCAGCTCATCCTGCTCTTTTCCTGGAGCTCCCTCACTGTCTGGGTGCCAGCCAGCACAGACACGGCCAGGGAACCCCCACCACACTCTCCCCCCCATGGTTTTTACGTTTCTAAGGTTCCTGGAAGAGGGTGATGGAGTCTGGTGTAGAGCAAAGGGGTGTACCCCAAGGGGAGTGAGGTGCCTTGAGATTTCACAGTGACACTATGAAATGAGAGCTGAGCAAATGTGCCAAAGCAAACAGCCCAAAAAAATCCCCCTTTGCACCAGAGGGCCGAGCTGTGCAGGTGCTCAGCTCAGAGAGGAGCAAGGAAGGCTGAGCCCCAGCTCCAGCAGTCAGGTGCGCTTTGAGCCAAACTCCGGCTATTTCAGCCAAGGAGAAAAGATGGAAATTTCCACCTGGCCTGCTTTCTTCCCTGTGACAGATTTGCAGGAGCCCCTTTCCCCATCCCCGGCAGCAGGGCTGGGGCGGTGCAGGCGGCTGTGCCTCTCCTTTCCTCCGGCGGCAGCAGCGGCAGCGCAGCCCCGGCCCCGCACGCTGATTTACACAGCATTTATTGACTGCCAGGAGATCGGCATTCACAGCCACGGCCTGGAGCAGGGATGGCTCCTCTCCTCCTTGCTGCCTCCATCCTCACACACTCCGGGGGGAGAGCCTGAGGATGGTCCCCCAGGGCTCTCACCCAGCTCGCTGGGAGGGGGCACCTGCTGAGTCCCCCCCTGTGCCTTGCTGCTCCTGGAGAAAAGCATCAGAGCCCCGTGGTGGAGCCTGCAAAATGGGCCAGCTCACCCAGTCCAGGAGGGGTGGGGACACCCATGAGGTCCCTGCCCGGGTCACCCACCCTGGGGACACGTGTCTTCTCCCTGGATGGATATCCACACTGCCCCGTGTTGCTGGTTCCCTTCCTGGTTTTGGAAGGGAGCAGAGACCCTCTTGGCTGTTCAAAAAGCTGGGGGATTGCTGTGTTCTGTTAACCAGAGCTGCCATCCATCCATCCATCCATCCATCCATCCATCCATCCATCCATCCATCCATCCATCCATCCATCCCACCGTCTGTCCACCCATCCCTCCTGCCTCCACCAGCCCCTTTTAGACAAAACCCTTCACAGGGCAGGAACGACCCTCTCCCTGAAAAGCTCATGCCCTGAATGAAATTACCGGGGCTTTCTTCACAATTAACCTCTCCGCAATTAGCTCCGGACCTCCGAAATCCCTCCCAGGCTCCTCTAGCCGGTACCACAGGCGGTGCCTACGGACAGGGTACGGGAGCGCACCGGGAAAGGCTCTCCCGGGGCCGGCGGGGGGGCTCGGGGGAGGAGCGGGGGGGCCAGCGCCGCTGCCGCAGAGCCGCCGCGGCGGAGGGAGGTAAGGACCGCCGCGACCTGTTGTGCTCGGCCGGGACCGCCGGGGGCCGCGGGGAGAGGAGGAGAAGCCGCCGCTCCGAGCCCCTGCCCGCCCGGGCCCCGCCGAGCATCCCCCCGCTCCCCCGAGCATCCTCCGGGCGCGGCCGGGGCCCGGCCAGGAGCTTCTCCTTCCGACCGGGGACGCGGGTTGCTGAATTCCCCCCGTTTATGGCAACTTCGCCGCCGGCAAGATGTCGGGGAACCTTTTGGCGGAGCAAAAAGCGCTTTTGTGCTCTGGCGGGAGGGCTGCGGTGCGGGGGTCGCGCAGAGCGAGGGGCAGCGGGGCAAGGGCTCCTCTGGGGTGAGACCTCCCAGCCCTGCCCGCGGTGGAGAAACGCCCCACGCTGGGGCCACAGGGGCTGCAGGGTGTAAATCCCCAGGGGCAGACGGATGTAAATCCAGCGGGAGGAGAAAATCCAATTTACGGCAGCGCGGGGATGCTCGGGGGAGCGAGGCGGAGAGTGCCGGAGGCTGGTCCAGCGCCGCGGCTGTGCAGCGCATCCCGCATCCCGCACCCCGCTCCGCTCCCGGCCCCGGGAAGTTTGGGCCACACACAGTACGTACGAGGCTTTTCCAGCTAGTTTTTTTTCTCCAGCTGGGATTCCTGCTATGGAAAAATCCTGCAACAGGCTTTCCGGCATCCCGGGAGATGCTTCCCGCTGGGTTTTACTGCCTGGGGACAGGCACAGGAGGGTGTGGGTGAGGGGGATTGCAGCCAGCTCCCCTGGGAGCAGCAGGGTGCAGCGGTGTCCCCAAGACTGACAACACGTCCTGCTGGGCTGTTCTGCTCTGGGATGGGGGGTCTGGGGGTGAGCCCCAAAACGGGACCCCACCCGAGCCCCCCAGCAGTGCTGTGACCTCAGCACAGTCTGGGTCAGAGAGAAGCAATTTAAGCCCCAGGAACTCACTCACAGGGTCTGTGGGCACCATGTTTGCCCCCCTCCTCAGGGCCCTCCAGCATCCAGCACATGCTGGCAGCTGGAAAACCTCTCTGCTCCTGCAAACGCCATGTCTGGCAGGGAGACCAAGGAAATCACTGTCATTGATTTTTCCTCCCTTGCTTGACTCAACCTGCTGCCTTGGAGGAGATTTTTTCACCATCACCACCCCTGGATGTCAGGGAGATCTGCAGGAAGTGGGCTGGGGGCAGGCCAGGAATTCAGAGCAGCCCCCTGTGTTGGATGGCTCTGGAGGGGTCACTGGAGGATGCTGAGTATTTGGAGAGCTGATTTTGGGATGCGTTTGGTGCAGCCCCTCAGGTGTGATGCTGGGGTCTCTCTGGCAGGTCTGTGCTGGCTCTGATCCCCCAGAGAAGCAGATCTGGAAAAAGCAGAGTCAGATCCCATCCCCTCTCTGAAAGCTGCAGGAGTGTGCCTGCCCGGCCCGTGGCTCTGCCCCAGAGATGCTGAAAAGGGCAAAAAGCAGAGCAAATGTGCTGCCTGCAGGGAGCCAGGGCTTCCCGAGGCAGCAGGACCTTCCCTGGGTGGATTCCACATGTTAATTCCTCTAATTGCTTTTGGAAATCACAGCAATTGTTTGTTTGTCTTTGGTAGCATCCCAGGGAGGTGCTGAGCCTCGGGGGTGGCTCGTGTGGGTCCCCCACGAGCCCTGCTCACCACCCCAAATCCAAGCTTCAGCTCAGAGGGTCGGTGGATCCCATTTGCCTCGGGGAAATCATCTTTCCAGGTGGAAAAAAACCCATCAGAACCGCTGTGATACGACGAGGTGGAGAAGGCTCAGGGCCACCCACGCGTCACTGTCCCTTGCAGACCCCCGGGGTGTCACTGTCACCGCTCTCTGTCCCTCTCAGGGGGCCAGGATGGGCTCGGTGGGAGCCCAGCGCCTCAAGGAGCTGAGCCCGGTGGCGACGCCCGAGGGGAACGTGGTGATGAGCTTCAGCTTCGACAGCTACCAGCTGGAGGAGGACGAGCTGCAGCGGGGCAGCCAGGCCAAGGCTGTGCTCACCTTCATGGAGCCAGGTGAGGGCAGGCCCTGGCCAGGAGCCAGGCTCCCTGCTGGTTTCCCACCCGCCTAGGAGCTTCCTGGGATGGGTTTAATAGCCACAAATAGCCTCAAGTGCCACAAGATTGGCCACTACACTTTTTCATCCCTTTTTGTACCCGTGTGAGCCACCAGCACGTCCCGTGACAGTGGGCTCTGCAGGCTGGGAAGGAGTTGAGGAATGATGCCCTGGTTCTCCTGCCAGGCTCACCCCCAGCCTGCAGCTTCATCTTTCTCCATGCAGGACTCAGGGACACTCCTGGGATTCACCCCAGCCCTGCTCCACATCCTGAGCAGCCCTGTCTGCCTCCACACCCACCTCTGACCCTTCCTGCACCTTGACTTGTGCTGTTACCTGCACTGCCGGGCTCTCAGCTTGTTTAGCTGCAATTAAAACTCACCAGACCCCCAAAGCCCAGATGTTTTCCTGCCTCCTGGTCTCCACTGAAATGTCTTCATTTAGGGAAGGAATTTCTCAGAGCTGGGGCTGTTTATTTGTACATCCACAGGGAGCTGAGCTGTTTCATCGCCTCAAGGCTGCGGTCCCATGTGGGTCCCAGGGGGGCAGCAGTGCCACTGTCACATCTTTTTCTCTTTCCTTCCTCTTCTGGGGCAGTTTCTGAGGACCCTGAGCCGCAGGATCGATACCATGGGATTTATTTTGCCATGCTGCTGGCTGGGGTGGGATTTCTCCTGCCCTACAACAGCTTTATCACCGATGTGGATTACCTGCACCACAAATACCCAGGTAGGTCTGGAGCAGCTCCAGCACATCTCTGACACCCCAAACCTGGAGAGAGCTCAATCCCATTTCCAAGGGAGCTGAACTGCTGTCCCCCCATCACCTGCTTCTCTCCAGGGACCTCCATTGTCTTCGACATGAGCCTCACCTACATCCTGGTGGCCCTGGTGGCCGTCATCCTCAACAACGCGCTGGTGGAGCTGCTGAGCTTGCACACCCGGATCTCCGTGGGTGAGTGGGGTCCCTGCACCCCCAGGCAGTGCTGTCCCCGTGCCGTGCCCCTGCCACCCCCTCTGTGTCCTCCCCACAGGCTACCTGTTTGCCCTGGGGCCCCTGCTCTTCGTCAGCATCTGCGACGTGTGGCTGGAGCTGTTCAGCCGCAGACAAGCCTACGCCATCAACCTGGTGGCTGTCGGGGTGGTGGCCTTTGGCTGCACAGGTATGTGGCAGAGCAGCTGGGCTGGGACACGGCAGGTAGGGCTGGGAAACAGCCCCATCCCTGATCTCCTGGGACAACCTCCTGCTCTGGTCCCTGTAACCCTCAGGTTCCTGCCCCATCCCATCCACCTCTGCCCAGGCATTGTGGGACTGGCCAGGGGCACCAGCACCAAACGGTGTATTCGCTGATCTGGCCACCATGGTGGCATGCCAAGCCCCCACACCTGGTGGTCACAGACACAGTGGAGCATCCATGGAGGGGAAAAAGGCTCTCCTGCTTTTGGAGCAAGGAGGCTGCTGAAAGGAGCAGCTCCCAGCGGGCACAGCTCATGGGTTCCCTCTGAGGTTTCTTCCTCCTTCCCGGAGTTTCGGCTGCAGCAATAATCCCTCCTTCTCCCCTCTGTGCCTCTCTCCTGAAGTGCAGCAATCCAGCTTCTACGGCTACACGGGGCTGCTGCCCAAGCGCTACACGCAGGGAGTGATGACAGGAGAGAGTAAGTACCACAGCCACTGACCCTGTCCACAGCCACCACACGGATTGCACCTTCTCCTGGGGCCCCAGTGAGCCCCCACTGGCCCCAGCACAGCCAGCAGGTCAGGGATACCCCGGGGAGTTTTCTGGTTTCTGAGTCCCTGCGCTGCCATGCCAGGCTGGACGTGGGGATGCCCGCCAGGAGCTTTATCACCCCAAAATCACTGCTGGTGATGGGGAAGCATCACATCCACAGGGTGGGGGGTGGCGAGGATCCCTGAGCTGGGATGCAGAGGGGCCCAGCACTGGCAGCTCTCCCGCGCCGCCAGGCACCGCCGGGGTCATCATCTCGCTCAGCCGCATCTTCACCAAGCTGCTGCTGTCGGACGAGAAGGAGAACACCGTCATCTTCTTCTTCATCTCCATCGGCATGGAGCTGACGTGCTTCGTCCTGCACCTCCTGGTGAAGCGCACGCGCTTCGTGCGCTACTACACCGACTGCTCCCGCCAGGGCCGCGGCGCCGGCCAGCCCCGCGCCGGGTACCGCGTGCACCACGACGTCACCGCCGAGGACGTCCGATTTGTAAGCCCTGCTCCATGTTTTGTGCCGGGAGACTTGTGAGTCTTGACTCCCTGTTATGATGTATGTTATGTTACAATGCTATATTAAATCTATGCTAAAAGAATGGAGAAAAAATGATTAATCAGAAAGCTGGAAAGAGGAATAGAATCAATAACAAAAAGCTTGTGATTCTCAGAGTCCAATGCAGCTGCATCTTTGATTGGCCTTAATTAGAAACGACCAACATGCACCAATCACAGGTGCACCTGTTGCATTCCACAGCAGCAGACAGTTAATTGTTTGCATTTCTTTCCTGGGGCTCCTCAGCTCCTCAGGAGAAAAATCCTAGCAAAGGATTTTTCATCAGATATCATGGCTACAGTAAGCCAAGGGTGGGTTTGCCTGCCGGCCCCTGGGGTTCTTTGCCACTGCACCTCAGCACTGCTCTCCCCTCATCCAGGAAAACCGGGAGCAGGGGCAGCTGAGCTCCCCCCGGGGCAGCCCTGGCACCGAAGCTGAGCTGGCTGGGAGTGGCACCTACATGCGCTTTGATGTCCCCCGGCCCAAGATCAAGAGGAGCTGGCCCAGCTTCCGAGGTGAGTGGTGGGCTTGGGGAAAGCCATGCCCGTGGGGTGGGATAAATGATTGGTAACACTCTTATGGGGAAGGATCGTCCCCAGGGCTGGAGAGGGACTTTTGAAAAGGGCATGGAATAGCAGGACAAAGGGAAATGGTTTCAAACTGACGTGATGACAGGATTAGATGGAATATTAACCAGAAATTCTTCCCTGTGAGGGTGGGGAGGCCCTGGCACATGCTGCTCAGAGAAGCTGTGGCTGCCCTATTCCTGACAGTGTCCAAGGCCATGTTGGATGGGGCTTGCAGCCACCTGGGATAGTGGAAGGTGTTGCTGGCCATGGCAGGGAGTTGAAACTGGATGGTCTTTAACAGTCCCTTCCATCCCAAACCATTCTATGATTCTATGATCCCTTTCCTAATGATGTGCCCAAATCCATGGGCCAAACTCATCTTTGGAAGGCACCCCTGGGGGTCAGACAAAGCTCTCAGGCTCTGCAAGGGGGCTGGGCTGCACTTTTGGCTGAGCTGTGCTGCCTGTCCCTGCCAGACATGCTGCTCTACCGCTACGTCGTGTCCCGCCTCATCTGGGCCTACATGCTCTCCATCGCCATGACCTACTTCATCACACTGTGCCTCTTTCCCGGGCTGGAGTCGGAGATCCACAACTGCACGCTGGGGGAATGGCTCCCCATCCTCATCATGGCCATCTTCAACCTCTCTGACTTCGTCGGCAAGGTAGGAGAGAGGCCAGAGCCAGCACAGGGCGGGTCTGTCCTCCTTTGGTGTTTCTGAGCCACTTGGCTCCACCATGGGTCATCCACCCAGGAGGCTCTGATCACTGTGAGGCTGGTGCTCACCAGCACGGCCAAGGCTGGGTTCCCACAGCAGCTGGTCTTTCCACCATCTCATCTCCTTGTCACCCCATTTTGGGCACAGCAGGGCCCTCCCCAGCCTCCTCATCCCCCCAGCAGAGTCTCTGCCCTCGCTGCAGATCCTGGCTGCCCTGCCCTACGACTGGAGAGGGACCCACCTCCTCGTCTACTCCTGCCTCCGCGTGGTCTTCATCCCCCTCTTCATCATGTGCGTCTACCCCAGCGGGCAGCCCACCTTCGGCCACCCCGCCTGGCCCTGCATCTTCTCCCTCCTCATGGGCATCACCAACGGCTACTTCGGCAGCGTGCCCATGATCCTGGCCGCAGGCAAAGTGAGCCCGGAGCAGCGGGAGCTGGCAGGTAGGACAGAGCCCTCCTGGGAATGCCCCGTGGTGTGGCCAGAGCACCCTGGCAGCCCGTGTCCCTTCCCACAGGGAACACCATGACCGTGTCCTACATGACGGGCTTGACGCTGGGCTCGGCCGTGGCGTATTTTGCCTACAGCCTCAGCAGCACCTCCCACAGCACCTGCTTCTACACCGAGACCTCCAACGGCTCCTTCACCTCGGGGTACTGAGCCCTGGGGCAGGGCAGTGGGGACAGGATGGGACCTGCTTCCCACCACGGCCCCACATCCCTCCTCAAGGAGGGAGCCTGGAGCCAGAAAGCCACCCCAGCATGGACAAGGACTGGTATCCTGTTGGCACAGGGCTGTGGCATTCCCAAATGGCCTGTGCTGCCCAGCCAGGCACTGTGCAGGGCCACTGCTTGGGGTGACATTCCTCCCACCCCAGGGGACGGTTCTTGCTGCTTTTGGGGGTCTCCCCATCAGCAATGTGCAGCTCTCCACTGGAGGCTGGGGATCTTCTGTTTGAGGCAAGCCATTGACAGGAGGAAGAAAATACTGCCAAATCCCAAAGGGAATAGGACCAGCACTGGGGAGGAGGGTGATGGAGGGCTGGTGAGGAAGAAGAGAAGCAAGAGAGGAAAGAAACACTCCTTCAGTCCCCCGTGGCTCTGGGAAGGTGGGTCTCGACTTCCATTGATGGTGCTGCAGGTTTTCACCAGGGATGGCTTGAAATCACAGTCTCTCCCTAAATATAGGAATCATATAGTTGGGGAAAAAAGATTTTTTTTTTTATTGTGTCTTGTTTTACTCCCGCTAACTGCAACAGAGGCAGGGTCTTGCCTCCCCCCACCCCACACTGTGAATCTGCTCCATGCAAGGGGTAGAGGGGGGGGTCCTAAGGCTACAGCACTGCCAGTGCCACCTGCAGGCCACTGCTGAGCTTCAAGTTTTATTGCACAGGATGGAAGTGAAGCTGATTAAATAATTCAATGTCTTTGCAACAAGGGCTGGTCCTTAGCTGTGCTGCTGGCACACACCACAAGTGTGTGGGTGGCACTTGACTGCTGGTGATGGGCTGCACTGGCAAACACACACACACCGCCTGCTGCCTGTCCTGTTGGGTTTTGGGGTGCCCCTTGTGCTGGTCTCCATCATCAGGGTCCCCTTTGTCACCTGGGGTGGTTGAACACATCACCGGGTTACACCAAACCCCTGCCAGCCTGCAAACTGCCATGGGCAGCACACGGGACAGGGAACAGGCCAAGAGGAGCAGAAAACATCAGGAGAAGTGCCAGCACCATGTTTTGGGACCAGCTGCACCTAACGGTGCCAAATGGCAGGTGCCACCTCCCAGGGAAGCCCAAGGAGCCAGCGAGTGCCAGGCCTGGCCCTGACCTGGCCCCTGCAGCACGGGAGGGTCTGGCCGTGCCAAGCTCCTGCCTGTATGAAGTGCAGCTCACACCAAAAAAGAGCAAATCCAGCGTTTCATCCTCAGCACATGGTGGCAGGGGGAGGACTCACACCTCCAGGCCACAGGCCCTGCCCAGCAGACAGCTCTGCTCCAGCATCCAGTCCTGTCCATCGGTGCCACCAACTCACACAGATGGGTTCTCCCCAAAAAGCCACCAGGCACCTGGGTTGTGTCTTTCTCCAGGGCAGGGGCTGAGCCAAAAAGCCATCATTGCCACCAAGGGGAGAAAAACCCTGCGGTCAGGACAAGTGAGACAAAGAAAGATGCTTCGCTGGGTTGCTTTTTTTCAATTAGATTTTTTTTTTTTTATGAAAAAAGATCACACGGAGTTCTCCAACAAACAGAATGCCAAAAAAATTGTTTTAAACAAAACATAAACAAAACAAAACAAAAAGACAAAAACCTGGCTCTCCTTTCCTCTCGATTGTCTGAAATATCCTTGTGTTCCATAGAAGGCAGTGGGTTTTAAGTGCTTTCTATTTAACATTAGCATAAAATCTCTCTCGCGCGCTCTCTCTCTCGCTCTTTAAAATATGCTCACACAATTTGCTTCTAGAAGTACAGTACACTTTGAGCGTGGGGGGTGTGCCTGTTCCCAGATCATTTACAATCACAATCCAACAGGAAATAAAAAATAATATTCTAAACGTCAGACTGTGTTCATTTCTGCCGTTGTGGGTTTTTTTCTTTTTTTGTTTTTTATAATTTCATAATTTTTTTCACAGTTTTAAAAAGTTTATATTTATATATATATATTTATATTTATATTTATAATTAAAAAGTTGAATCCATTTAAAGACTTATAATACAGGAGGGCTAAAGAGTCTTTTGGTACATTAAAACTGTACAGGCTAGAACCGTCGCTGTCCGCCGTGCCGAGGCGCCGGTGGCCCGGGGTGGAGATGGTACGAGCTCAGCACCATGTGGTTTGTTTAAAAGGACGAGGGGTAACTCTGTGGGGCTGTCCCTCACCCCTGAGCCCCGGCCTCCATTCCCGCAGCCAGGGTGGAGAGTTTCCAATCTGTCCTTGGCTTAAGCGTCTCCCCACGGGAGCCTGGGCCGAGCCGGGCCCCGCTCCGCGTCCCGGCGATCCGTAGTGCGAGTCGGGAGTTGCAAAGATCAGTGCGTCTCTTGGAGTTTTGTTTTAAGTGCAAGGATGGTGCGTCGTTCTCCTCAGGTTCTCCTCCAGTGTTCCCCCTTGCCAGGTGTAAGCCTGGAGCAGCGGTGGCGGTGCCGCGGGGCTGGCGTGTGCCCGAGGGGAGCTCAGCTCCTCCGTGGATGGAGGGAGATGAACGGTGCAGTCCCTGAGCCCAAGGTGGCAGCGGGGCTCTGGCTGTGGGAGCGCCGTGGGCAGGCACAGCCGGGTTCACACACTGCCCCCATTCCCTTCAGATGATGGGCAAGGCTTCCCAGCAGCTCCACATCTCAGGCAGGGCGGGTAAAGCTGGGTGAGGGATGCTGGAATCCAGTGGCCTCTGATAATCTCTCCTCCAAGCACCAAGCAGCAGCTTTTCCCAGTCGTTTCCTGCCCCTTCACTGCACGCTCCAAGATGAGGTCTCAGTTTGTCACTTGTCACCCCCCTTGCCACTTGCTTGCTCCCTCCAGCACCTTCACAGGGCAGAAGGGGTGCAGAGCTGCAGAGGGTTCTGAGTGTTTGTTCAAGGCAGAGGGAAGGCAGCATTCCAGACTGGATGTTGGCTCCTCTTCCACCTGGCTCCTCCCAGGCCAGAGGATTCTCTTCTGCCATCTCTGTGCTGGGGCCAGCCCTGCCCTGTCGTGCTCCACACGCTGCCAGAGGGGCCTCCAGGGAAAGAGAACGGCAAAAAGGCGCTGAGAGGATCGAGACGAGGCGCTGAGAGAGACTCATCTCCTTTCTCTTTCACCCTGTCCTTCCTATAAAGGGTCATGCGAAACTAAGCAGGAAAGGGAATATAAGGACGGAGAGGAGCGCACGCAGAAGGCGAGAGAGTCCTTCCACGTGCGGGCGGCTTCCGAGTTACTGATGGGGAAAAATGACACAAAAGGGATCCCTCCTGCCGGGGGGTCCCGCTGGTGAAATGATCACGAGACCCATGTGCTTTCCTGGACCAAAAGGAGGAAGGGAGAAGTTGGTCGAGTGTCACCTTACTTAAAGCCACTTCCAGAAGAGCCTCGGGGTTCAAGGACCACCACAGCCCCCAATGGCATCTTCCTCGAGTCCTGTAACTGCTTCCCCAACCCCTTTCTTCAGCCTTCTCCTTCCTCCTCGCGTCTCTCGCGCTCTCCTGTCTGTAGTGTGACACAGAAATGAGCATTGAAAGAAACAATCATGTCGTCTGAACAGGCACGTCCTCAGGTCTGTCCCACCCCTTCCCAGGGGGTGGCATGTGTCCCCTGGGCAGTCAGCAGATGACAGGGACCCCGTCAGTGTTGAAGATCATGCCCGTGGTGGGCTCGTAGGTCCCTGCAAGGTAGTAGAGATCCTCACTGTCTTGGTATTTCTTTGTCTTTAGCATCTGCTCATATTGATCCAGACCAACAACAAGACACTTGTGTGAGATGGTCTGGACATCATTTTCATCCACGTGAGAGGACTGGTAGAGGGCTCTCTGCACAACAGGAAGAGAAGGAAGGAGGTGGGAAAAAAAGGAGCCATTAGATCACCCAGCATTTACAGCATCATCTTCAATAAGTAGGAAAAACACTCATCATAATGGGATAGGACTCTTCTCACACTCAAGAACATCTCACTCATCCCAACAACCAGGCCAGGGGAGGGACCCTGGGAATCTGCACAGGCCCATGGACAGCCTGGACAATTCCTCCAGCCCACTGAACCTGAGCCCTGGCTTTCACTTGGCTCCCACTAATGGGAATGCTGCAGCTGCCAAGCACACAGACAGGGAAATATGGAGGCCAGGGGTTTGCCATCCTCATATCAAGGATGCAAATGCAAAGATGGGTGCTGGATACCAGCTCCCTCTTCCTCCCCACACCCAGCACCTGCAGCTACTCCCATCCTCCCAGAAATATCCATCCCAACTCCTGGGCACTGCAGATTTGGCAGTCGAGGCAAAAAGCAAGAGCCAGAGAAGTTTGGGGGGTATTCCCAGCAGAATTTATTTGTTACAGGGTACCCAGCATTCCCTCCCAACCTTCTCCCAGTCTCACCAACCTCCATAAAGTCCTTCCTCTGGTTGGATGCCTGCAAAGCTGTGGCCAGACTCCTGCCCGATTTCTGATCCCAGCGCTGTGCCCAAGAAGAAAAAAGGAAACAGAAATGAAAACCTGGTGAATTTGTTGATTTTCCATCTCACCAACTCCTGCCCACCCACGTGCTTTTGGAACTTCAACTCCTGCCCATTGCCACTAGGAAAAAATCCTATACACATATGCAAAACTCAGTGTTTCTGAGCACCAGGCCCATCCTTCTTACACTCTGAAGACTTGATCTGGCTCTTGATGCTTTTTTTGGTACCCACGCAAAAGTCTTTATTTCCTAATACAAAGAAACCCACCCCTTCCTTCTTCAAGGGGTCAACACTGGGCTTGCCCACACCACAGGCAGCCCCCACAAGATGAAAGCATGGGGCCACCCCCTTCAGGGTACCAGTAACAAACTGGGCCTTGGCTGCTTTCCTCATTGTTGGAAACAAAAGGGAGCAAGGAGCTTTGCAGCCCTCTCAGCAAAGGAGACCAGCCTACCTTGCCTTCATTGAGTTTCTTCCCAGGGTTGGTTTCTTCTGGGTGATAAAACCATTTGACTCGGACCACCATGTTGTTGCCCCAGGATTCCCACATGCTCTGGATCCGGCCAATGTAGGGCAGGTTGGGGCGGCCAGCGGAGAGGAAAACCGCGCAGTCCCCGATGCGGATGATCTCCTTGCCCCGCACGATGGCCTTGTAGAACAGCTTCCTGGCCTTCCCCTTCATTCCTCGTCTCTGCCAAGAGGGGATCATGCAAGTGGTCAGCCAGGGATCACCCACATTTTCCCTACACACCACTGTTTGCCCTGTCCCACATGCATCCCTTTGCTGTTGGCAGAGCCACAATATTCCCACAGGAACTGGGGCAGAGGGATACGACACACAGAATGGCTTCCCCAACACAGTGAAAGGCATCTCCCTGCACACTGGACACGCCAGCAGTTCCACCACACCAGCAAAAGGGAAGAGGCACCAGAAGGCAAAACCAGTGCCGAGTGCTGAGCATTTACCTGCGTGGGCTTCCCAAACCACTTCCAGAGCTGCCGTGCCGGGAGGAAAGCAGCGATCTTGGGCCTGTTCTCCACGGAGGGCAGGCGCTGGCGCTTGGCCAGCTCCTTGGTGGTGGGCAGGTGGATGCCCTCGCGCTTCTTGGGCCGGCTCTTGTTGCCGCTCTGCGGTGGTGCCGGCTGCTGCGCCGGCTGCTGCGCCGGCTGCTGCGCCGGCTGCTTCTGGCTCTGCGGGTGGGAGGACGCCCGGGATTTCCCTGCCTGCTTGGTTTGCTTGGGTGGGAGGGTTTGCTGCACCGAGGAACTCGGCTGGGCCTCGGCTACTTCGTCGTCAGAGCT